TTTCTTGCTTTTTAATCCTTACCAGACATACTCTGCTTATCGATTACCGATTAAGTTTGTTCATGCGTGTCAAACTCCCAGCACAGAAGTACAGAATCCTGCATTTCCTGGCTGACAGTGAGGTCGGTAGCGAATCCAGTGGCGTGGCACTAAAAGGGCTCGACGATAAATCACTACGGCAAATTCGCTGTAAAGCACTAAGTGCCACGAGCCGTTTGAAAGGATCGCACGGGTAAAACGCCACGCCGAGAGCAAGAATAATTATTATAAGGTCGCATTCTGGTCCTCCTCGTTTTTAAACGACCTTCTTCGGTCGAAGCGTGTATTTGAAGTTTCGCGATTGAAAGCTTTGCAGTTGCACTGGCTTCTCTTCTTTATCCGTACTAATTCGTGTTTGAAAGAACACGTGTAATTGAACTCGTGTTTAAGAAATTCTACAATTTCTGAAAATTATATTTCATCGAATACGCGATTAATATTCTATTTTTATTCGTACGACAAATTTTACGAGCAACAAGAGACGAGTTAAAGTTGATAAGCTGAAAAACGGACTGGCGTTACGAAATTCAGTTTTCCTTGTGATATCTGACACGCGATATATACGGAAGAGTCATTAAGTGTATCAGTATTGATTCAATCAGTTGCCTTTTTTATGCTTGTCCAGTAGATGACACGATCGAAATTAACCGTTTGATTTCCAGGCAGCGCGATCGCGCTGTTTAGATTTTGTATCGAAAAGTCCCAGTACATTTGAACGTTACGAAGGTATTTTGTATTTTGTTATCTTCTCAATAATTTTTATTGAACAAAACTTGAAATATGTATAAATTAATAGTATATATGTTACGCCACGAGGCTTACCACAGGCTGTATTTTCTAATCGTCGCTCGCGGTCCTACAGCGTCGCAGGCAGACCGTCTTATCTGCTCGCCGGATCATATACAATGTATCGACGAGAGTGTCACGTAAAATAACAAAGTAAAAAAAGGAATTTAAGGTAAAAATAAAAAAGAAAACTTTATTTTTTTTTTCTAACATCAATACACTTCACAATCTACTTCCGAACTCTAGGCGTGACTTTCCAAGACTGACTCTTATGATTTTACTTTCGATCGGATCCGATTATTTTCTTTTCTCATCCCTCAACATCCCCACCTTCCATGCATTTGCTAGGCGTCCGCGATCGTTGCCACGTGCTCTTTCTTCTAGAACCTTCGATGGAAGGACTGTTGGGATGTTGATGGTTCATTAGGCACTTTAGCGATATACATTGTCGTCGAGTGCCGCCACATCTTTATCTCTATCGTCAGTTCGTCGGATTTGAAGTATGCCGGTCGTGACAAGAGCATAGTTGTCGCCAAGCAGCAAACTCTAGAAACGTCGATTTTTGACCGTTACGTTTTTCACACAAGAAGAGGCATACGTGACCATAGGCGCGAGCGGTGGCGTGACCCGAGCATAGTGGGGGTCGTCTTCCAAATGAGACAAAGGAATAATCGAAGGGGATCAGTTCCTTCTGACGAGTCAAATGTGACGCTTCGACAAATCTGACGAGCATACGAATTTATCTAGAGATATCGCAAAGTCGAGTCAAATTTCTGTAGCATATTCATCATATTATTGTAAAATATATCATTCTATGTTAACCTGTTAATACAGTGTTACATTCATTAAACCACCTCTGTTATCTTAACCGAAACAGGAGAACGACTATTTCGCGGCGTCGATTAACATAATCGTAGCGAGAATTTACGCCTCTCGCTGACGCGTTTTCTTAGCGACCGCGTCTTTACGCGAACGGTCGTAACAATATATATAATAAGATAGATGTATTTCATAAAATAACAAATTGTTTCTCTTCGCAATCGATTAAGACAAGCGCTATCGCGCTGTTCGGAATTTTTCGATCCTGTTTTTTCAAAGACCCCTGGGACTCAAACGGTTAAAAGGTGGAATTTTCAAAATCGAAATGAGAGAATTCGTTTAAAAGGGGAAATAGGTTAAACGTGAATTACATGATTCGAAAATTGTCCATTTTCGAGCAAGTGTCGACCATGGAAATAGCAGATATAGATCACAGCTGAGAAATAAAGAGCATGTTAAAACAAGATAGACATATTTTGATATCACTTTCCCTTTGTAGCTGATATTTGCTCCGCCTATAGAAAGGGAAAGAAAAACTTGTTATTTATTTCTATTTCTCTCTATGAAGTCGATTTTATCAACACAACATCTGTAATCTACACTTCTTATATCTACGGTCTTGACATATTCTTACAAATCTTGAAACTAGGCGATAATTATATTTAGCTCACCTGAATCTTTCATATATATATATATATATTCTATCCATATGGCTCTTTAAAATACCAGAATGATTTACCTAGATATTATCTTTAGAAAAATGGGTTAAACAGAGGTTATACGGTTTCAAGAGGGAGTCGTAAGCTGGATCAAACAAATTCTTTCTTGGAAAATGTGTTTTTCAGAGAATCGAAGGTTAAGCTTAAAATTGTTTGGCGAATGATAAAAATACATATTTTTTAATACTAACAAAATTCACTTTTTTTTTATAAAGAAAAAATATACCTCATGTTTTTAGATTTGCTTATTGTTAGTATGGCAATTTGTTTTACAATCCATACTCCTTCTTACTTCGTCACGGATAATGTACTCGGTAATTTTGAAACTTTTCCTCTCGTATCAATTTAACTTTACAAATACAGTGCATACGATGACGTAATATACACTCTCGCCATATGTTTTTCATTAAAACTTTCTATAACGACCGTTCTTTTTGGTACTAGCATATAAATCGGCAACGAAAGATACACGCATATTTACGTAACGTTACGAGATATGCAATCATCGAAATACTTGAATATTCCGGAATTTAGTAACAAACAACCTATCCCGAGTCATCGTCCAATGTTACATATGTATGTACCGAACGTGGTAGTCAACTTGAGTATTAATGTTAAAAGTTATTCGAATAAACTGAATCTTTGTTACATATCACGTAACTGTATAATTTAAAAAATAGGATATTGTTAGTCGACGTACGCCCTCATATATATGTCATCAGAAATTTCATTTTAGAGCGAGGTGAAATTTATGTTACTTATTACAATATTTATTAAAATATATACATAATTTATATACAATTACAACGTTCAAAGCTAATACTTAATACTCGGTTAGATCTTAAATGTGATTCAGTTGTTTAAAATTGAAAGATCTTATCAAAGATCCATCTCGGCTGCTGTAATTAGTAAGGAACGTATTTAATATCTAACGTGTTTTTTAAATAATTTTGTTATTTTTTACAGGTGCACGTAACGCAGATAATAGCGACAAGAATGTAGACACCGTCGTTGTTTTACCGTCCGATGTTGGAAGTCAAATGATGTCAGCAGCATTCGATTTCCCTGATGTGAGCTTCGACAGCGATAGTGACAGTCTTGAAAGTTCAACCTGGAATTGGAACAGGTTGTTCAGGTCAAACTTCTTGGACGGATGGTATTCCAGCCTGCAAGGTACGTGAATAGAAATATTTGCTATATGCGCGCTATATACAATTTCAATATGTTTATTAAGCACTTTGTCGACGAGGTGCTTTCAAATGATAGCTTGTTATCTGGGCTATTTTTAAAAATGCAAGAAGAAATTTAACGTTCTCTGAAAATATAATTTACCTATTCAGACACCGTAAATTTGTTCAATTTACTATTAAAATATTCTTCCAATATCTCCACTAATTAATTAATTAATTTCTATAGTTAATACCGAATATCTTTTCTGTCAAGAAAGATCAGCTATTTCTTGCCGTTAATTTTTGAACGAAATTTGTTAAATCGGCAAAATACCTTGCGTGTAATAGTAAATTCTCAATAGTAAATAATTTTTCCAGTAATGTTACACAAGTCAATATATCGCCATTGAAAATAGCCGCAAAAAAATTTCTTTTCCTCTAATCGAAGCTATTTAGATTATATCTAAAAGCTTCGTCGTTAAGTACAAAGGAGACATTTTAGTTTATGAAATTAATTTTTATTAGTTATTAATTAGTTTTTAAATAACAGGATACGATGCATAACATTCGAAAGAAATACACTCAGCTATATCACAGAGCTCCTTTCGGACAACCGTTTTTCAATTTGAAACGACGTTTTTGACAGCCGTCGTTGTCACTGCCTCTCGAAAAAGAACCTCTCGTTAACAACTCTCGCGAAACAACTCTAAATCGAATTCTACTTTAACTCGGGGGATTATCAAAACACCTGTTTCCACTGTCGACTCTTTCGAATCACCCTCTTTTCAATCTAGAACGACACAATTGCCACAATCGTAATTGCCGCCCAACTCTCCGACGAAACGTCTCGTTAATATCCTAAAACAACTGGCTATCGAATTATACTTTAGATCGGTAGATAATCAGGGAACGGGGGATTATGATCGCGGATCAGTTGGATTCGTGGGGACGTAACACAGAATCGGCCAAATAGAGTGATAGTTCGCTGGAATCGGGAATGACCGCACGCGTGCCGCTTAGGCTGCCGCAGAAACGCGATCACGGTTCAGCAAACACAAACATAAAATTACACGGAATCGCGAACGGCCGTGTCCGTGTTCCGCTTACATGCGGTTTGTCAAACGTAACTTCCGGCGACCCGTTGCGCTCGTAATACCCGCGCGCAATCGGCCTCTGTATAGCCAACCGATTGTCGTTTCCCGCGGTGATATACGAGTTACGTTTGTGTATGTTCGTGAAAGTATTCGGTCGCCGTCGAAATTTCTCGAATTTCCGACTCGCTTTATTGCGACTCGCTTGCACACATAGAACTGTGTCATCGGTGCTTTACGATACGTACAGCGTAAAAATACGGCAAAGGAAAAATCATTCGGTCGCAGGATGAGAAACGGATAACGGCGGTCAACGATGATTAACGACGAGTTGGAAGGCGAAAAAAGATTCTAGATGTGATTCGTAATTGCGGAGGGATATGATACGTTATAATTATCGATCATAGAACATTTTCAAGATCTTTCATTTCATTTTAGTAAAATGAGAGGCATGAATCAATTGCACGATAGTAAGTTTATCGACGATAACGTCAATAAATTGATGTTTCGTACAGAATATGATAATCGAGCTAAATTATCAGACTTTATCAGGCGTTTAAGAACAATTTGCGAGAGATCCAAAAATTTGAGGTATATTACACAAAGTATAGTCAAAAAGCTGGACTAGAAAATATCTAAATTTGAATCGAGGCATCGTTTAAAGTGCAGAATCAAATAATGATAAATACTTGTAATATGAACATGGATGATATATAGCAAACGAAAACTGATTGAACGATAATATTCAGCAATCGAGGTAGGCGATCGTTGAGAAATTTGGTATAATATTAAACATAGACACGCATATGGACCTTTTAAAATATGAAATGTCGAGGAGGCAATAATATTTGAAAATTTCTGAAAACTTTCCAGATTTACTTCGTATTTCGCAAGTATCTTATTAAATCTTATTACATGCATGCACATATGAACGGTAATATGAACTGTTGTAACTTGAATTCTCTGGCATAGCTATATCTGTAAACTCTGACACGTTTGATAACTTATCGGAGTCTAAATAAATTGGTCGACGTAAACTGAGAACCTTTATCGTAGAATAACGCAGGAGTTTCGAAGTCATTTCCGCGCTAAGTGTTGAAGCTATTCTTGAACGTGAAATAATATAGGAGTTCCGAAGTTACTTTCCTCATGAAATATTACAAAAGTTTCGAAGTTACTTTTCGACATAATGTAATCGTTTTGCAGTTACTCGTACGTTAGGTATCAAAGTTACTCTAGAACATATATACGAATGTGCTAATCAAAATTTCAAGTAATATCGTGGCTAACTGTTTCGGCTTCCGTAATTTATTTTCTTTCTTTTTATTTTCAAAATTACGCAAGTTATAATGAAAGCCACTACTGTACGTTTCCTGCATAGAGCGTTAATATCACTTTTTAAAAGAACTAAAGAAGAGAATAAGCTTATTTTTGACGTAATTAAAAGTAAATGTTAGCAAATTAATTATATAAAACAATTAAATTGTAAACAAGCGTTACTTATAACGCTTTCAAAATTTCGTTAAACGTTCTTAACGTATAACACGCATCTATAGCACTTATTATTAAGTCGCTTTTCCACAATTATAATTACGGAAGACTATATTTCGAATTATTAATTTTTCGAATCTAAATACCGAGAAACAATTCTTACGAAGTTACCGAGAAGAACAGAGTAAAAGTGAAGCGGTCGCTGTTTAATAAATAAAACAGATTCACGTGAAATCACAATAAAATGCTATGGACATTGTGCTTCGTAGACTCTAACCACGACTCAAAGTCGGCCAATTGACACAGGAAGTACAGTTATAAAACATGGTACCGTGAAATCGACGTAATTATAAAATTATATCGGCGATAAAGAAGACGGTAGTTCGGTCTGTACTAATGAAAGCAATTAGCAGAAATTACCGCTCTAATTAGCTGGTCGTGATTACTGCCGCATCGCGGAAACTGCGGATCCTTTCGTTCCTTTCCTTCCGCCGTCCCTTTTTCTTCTTTTTTTTTTCTTTTTTTGTTTTCTTTTCTAACTTTCCTTCTCTCCTCTCGCTTATCTCCTTTTCTTTCTTTCTCTCTTTCCCTTCTGTTCCCGCGTTCCCTTCTACGTAACGGAGAATTGATTCTATAGCCTTCAAGACGAGCATCTACAATTTGTTGCCAGTTCCATGCGCTTCTGCTCACGTTCACGGAGCAATTTCATGAATATATCTGCATACCGTTAGGAACGAGTTTCGAAAAGAAAAAGGGAAGTCAGAAAACGAAGCGGAGGCAGTAGAGAATAAGTGGACGAAGGGGATGAAGATAAAACGAGGACCAAGATGACGAAGAACGGAAGAAAAGAAACAACGTGAAAGGATCAGAGAGAGGCCGGCCGCGATGCGAGGAGATTGATGACATTATCGCGTGGAATTCGCAATGAAGCAGTCTTTAAAGCCACCCGACATTCCCAAAACCACACGTGCCTTCACATGCATAATCGAACGAGAAGAAAACGGAAATCCGTGGCTCTAAGTGTAGTTTCACGATTCCTACTTTTAATACAATGGGTAAAGGTCTGGAATATCGGCTACCTAAAAACATTGCTTCGTATTATACATTTTCAGTAAATGATGCGACGAGTGTCGAGCAAGGAATGTTGTGAACGTTGAAATAAAGGTTCGGCGTATCAATGCAACGACGTTCCTTGCAAACGGATTAACACTAGAACTACCGATAGTTAATACGAAACTATTCCTACCAAAACCAATCAAAATAACTGTTCTTTAAAAAATACGTAATAATAGAATATTTTTATATTTATTGATTTATTACTTCTTTACAGAAGGAATTCAATGTTATGTAGTACATTTTTTATATTATTAATCCATCTGGAACCATGATTCCTAAACAAGAGTTGACACGTTTATAAAATTGTAGAACTAGTCATTTTGACTGGTGTGGTAGTTCCAGTGTTAAATATCAGCTTAATGCAAAATTCTACGATAGAAGGCAGCAAGGTCCTGCGATCACAACAAACACAACGATCGATTGAAATAATAAGCGATACGAATGCTGAGAATGTAAAAGAAAGTGCAAGAGAGCGTAAATTATACGTGGAGTAAGACGAAGAAATTTGTAAGTGCTAGAATAATTTATTTTATTCTAGAACTTAAAATGATACAGCTACGATCCTATGTGTTAATTGCATTGTGATAAAACATGAACAGTAGTATAATGTAGTTCGTAAGTTCGTAAAAATGATAAATGTTAAAAGCCCCGAATGATGTAAATTACGAAATTAACAGACACACCTTCTTTTTTTCTGTGTCTACTAAAAATGTTCAACTCTGACATTTAACCATTTCAGATATCGTTCTTTGTATCGCTTGTTATTACTTGAGATTGAAACAAACAACTACAAATTCTCCGTTTTTTCAATGCCACTGACGATTAATGTAACGCGTGGTAGTTTAGAAACGATAAAAACTTGTTGCCATGTCAGCAGCTATTAACTTGTTAATGTTACCAATAGACGAGAACGAAGTAAACAGCACTGAAGACAAGCGTGGAACGGAAGTATTTAGACGAATTGCAGCAGGTCGGGGAAATGAAATTCCTCCCGTCTCTTTAAATATTTCGCTTAGCATTAGCGGCGACAGAATCAAAAACGTGATTCTAATTGCGTTTACTTACTTTGAAAGAGAAATTCTCGGTTGTGCCGAGGAGAAGGAGGATTCGCGGCAGATGTTTGCAGCGGAACGCCGAAGAAAGTAGCAGTCGCGAGATTAAAATGGCTCCAATATTGCCTGGGCGCAATCTGTTTAATTGTAAAGCGTTCCCTACCGAATGAAGCGGCAAGAGGAAAAAGCCTGTTTCGCGGAAGTTCTCCACGCTCTTGACCAACGTTTTGCGCTTGTGAAAATGAAGGGAAATTAACGTTACGAAATTAAAGAATCTTTCAAAGCTTGGTCACTGACGATAGCCAGGAAGGATATTGGTTAATGCTGTGAAACTTGTAAGAGGAGTATCGCAAGCATCTGGATCTTGTCAAACGATTAATCATTCTCGTTGAATGTTCGCTCGTGGTGAAACACGATAGTTGCTCAATAACTTTGCTCCAGTTGTTTTGGAATCCTACTGGACTTCATTTATCAATCGTTTAATAATTATACAATCGAAACAATTAGTCTCTTTTAAATAAATATCCATCCTCCGTTGAACTTGATTCGAGTATGAACGTCTAAGTACTTTGAAATAATTCTCAACTTGTTTTTAATATTTCTATACGCTTATATTAGATCGTTAGTGGTAAATATTTCTTTTCGAGGTCTTCTTTCGTCCATCTCAAGATCACAAAACATTCAAACAGACATTGCTTGCATTTGTGTATCATTTTCCACATAAGGCTCGATCTATTATTTTTTTCGTACATGGTACATTATATACTATTACAGAGTATTTAATATATAGTATATTATATGCTTAAAACAAGTATACGATCTGCTTCTTTCAAAGTGAATTCCAGTTTCCGGGTTATTTTGCTTTTTCTTCGTAAGTACAAGTCTAGCCGAACTGCTCCGAAACAGCGAGAATACCAAGTTTTTACAAATCCGAAATTAACAAACTTATATTTAATTACGAAAGAGGAAACATATACAAACCAGTCAGCACCGATCATAAACTTAATAATGTTGGTACGATTGACTTAATCTTTGGATTAAGTAATACATTCGATTTTAAACAACTTCATAATCATTACTTTGTATATATACTGAGCGTGTCGATAAAAACAATTTCATTCTACACCTGTACTCGCTTGAAAAATTATACTCGTCCAACTACGATAGCGATATCACTCCTTTGAAAAAAATCTCTGCTTCGTCGTTACTTCCTGGTAATCTCCGTTATAAGAAATATTCCACAAATTACCTCCAAAGAAAACAGAAAGATCCAATTTAGAAGATCACGGAGAATTAAATCGATAACAACGAGAGCAACGAGCAAAAAGCCGACGATTATCCGTATGCTGCTAGTTGCATAACCCTTACAGTTGCAAAACGCGGACGAGCGAGTTTTACTTTCAAAGGTCGGGTTCTGTGACGCCAAGGTCGGCCATCGTAATATGCGGTTTATTTGTATCGACGATCGCTTTCACCAGCGAAAGTTCCACGTGCTTATTTGATCTCGAGACAAAGAGACACAGAAGGACGCGCCGGAAACGACGGGAAAAGGGAGCAAGAAGAAAAAGAGGAATAGAAGGGAAGAATAATTGCACGGGTCGATCGTGTAATTCATTAGGCGAAAGACGAGCCGGTGAATGGACAGCAATTTTCGGTAATCGCCGATTGCACGACTCGATGAGTCGTTATTCAGATCCACGTATACCGTTGCTGCTAGCCAGAGTGGAAGAAAGGGTCTTCAGGATTAAAAGTTGCAGAGCTGTCGAGTGGCGGAGCCGTTTCCAGAGACAGGAGCCAGGAAAGCGGAGCCGTTGTTAAAAAGGGGAGAAAATTTACGCCTGAAAAGAGATGCTACGCGGAGAAAGAAGGGAACGAGAGGGCTCCAGATGTACGGGGTGTTTCTGCAGAGAAAGAATGTTGCGTTGATATAGCGAAGTAGGGCCGGAGAAAATGTTTCTGGTAAATATTGTCTTATTTCGAAGGTTGAGAGGTAAAGAATGAAGTAGGAAATTAAAGTATATATTGACAGTGTACCTGATGATATAATTAAAAATATAGCAAAAGGCAACGGCTATTTTTACAGTTCTGTGAATTATAAAGAAAGTAGAAGAATTTCTTCTTTTTAAATGCACAAGCAAATGGAAATGAGATCGTCGTAGAAAATAATTTAGTCGGATCTAAAGTCTGAAGTTCACTCCAAAGTGTTTAAGTAAAAGTAATAGTATCGTTGAAGTAGTTCGCTCGTTATGAAATTATCTGCAGGATAATTTCCTTACTTGATACGAATGTATCTCTTCGTATTATCGATTAGAAAGCCAAAACTAAAATAGTCTTTTATCGTTCTAATAGATGAGAACTAACAAACTATACAGCTGTATATACATTTTGAAATACAGAAAGATTTGAAAGTAAAAATTTTAAAATTACTTGAAACAGCTAATTTACAATAGAAAGAGAATAAACGAAAATAATAGCAAAACTAAGAAACAGGAAAGATGGAAATGAAAGATATAAAAAATTAATAATAAATAATAGATGGAAATAACAAATGGAGAACTAGTGTTTATATCAATTTCTTGCACATTCGTGAAACAATATTCAAACTGTGGGAAAAGTCTGGAATCCAATACGAGGTTGATCTCGCTTATGATCTCACTGTACACGTGATATTTGACGAACGAATTCAAGCGTATAATGTCGAACTGGCTGGGCATGGTTACATGGAAATGTCAGGGATTTTATTCGCGGCAATGAAGCGTTTTCATCGGCGATGAACAGGGGCCACGAAATTCGACCGATCGAACAAGAAAAGCCAACCGAATCGGAGCTGTCGTCGCCAGCCGAATAATTCGTTGCCTTCGAAACGCCATTTTCAACGCGTTCACAGGTAGAACCCATTCGTTTCGATTAATGAAACTGCTTTGAACTGATCCAAATTGATCCTACTGTAGAAACCATTTCACCTGAAACCGTGCAAGATTTGTTACCGCGACGGTGCTTAAATTTGTAACTCTCATTGATAACTAATTCAGCGAAATTAAAACTTCGTTGAATTTTCAACACCTAATTTACAAAGATTAGTGGGTGCGAGTTATCGAAACCTCGGAAATTTTGTTTGATAATCGCGGCATGCTTCCGTGAGAAAGGTTTTCAAAAATTAGAATTAGATTTCACAGAGAAACAAATTATAGATATCCGTAAAATATCGTTACTAGATAGTAACCTTTTATTCTCTCCAATTTTTTAGCAAATAAAAATTTGCCTATTGCAAATTAAGGGTTAGACATGGAAACTCGAAATAATTAAAAAATATTGTAGAAATACGATACGCAGGATTAATAACAAAGTAAATTAAGATATTATAACGCAAATTTATATTTTTCTCAATATAATTCAGAAGATAGAATCTGGGCAGTAATCTTTGTTATCTGCTAAATATTACAACGAGTACTACATTTTGGATATTTTATACAACTTTCCAGATTATACATTTTTGAGTCTTCGAATCCTCCATGAATACATAAAAATCCGCAGTCCATTAATTATAGTCGTTTTTCGAAAATAAAAAAATATACTCGTTCGAATATTGGACGAAAGAAAATCTCTACAAAAAAACCAATTATGTATCTATTGTTGCGTGGAACAATGTTGCAAATTAAACATTCATTATCCTACGTCTTAATAGATTTGAAAAATATGCAAGAAGCAGGCAGAAAAATATTCAGATAGAAGCCCATGATTCATTCTATCCTGAACTAGAGCGTAAATGCGAAGACAAAACAATATACTATTCCGAACCAAAACGTAATTAATGAAACGCTATTATTACTCTCTGTATTTTTTAGTCTTCTTCCTTAACGCCCCCAAAAAATTGTTCGATTCAATAACTAAAATCTTGCGCGTAAAATGATCACTTTCTTCATAAAATATTTCATTCCACGATGTGTCATCTTGCACATGCTGCAATTTCATAGCGTTGTATCAAGCGGGGATACCGAAAGCGATGTCAGGGTCTCGTTTTACCGGTTTTTGAATACGGTTCGCTTGTTCTTACATAATTTAATGTAATTCTCGTGGCGATCAAGGTGAAGTTATTAAACTGTTAGCGGGATCCTTACTGGAAAGCAGAACGTAGAAATAATTAGCTGATCGAATAATGGATCTGTTACCATTTTTGTTACATGGACTCGATTTATTACGTTAGTTAGCCTGAGGCGTGTAACTTATCAAACTAACTAGATTTGATATGGTGAACGTAACTGTTAATATTATTTATATTACTATTTCCTTGAGGCAAGCGGGTACTATGTTTTAATGAATAGCGGTGTTCCACTTGATTGAAAATGCAGTTATATGCTGATAAGAAAGGAAACGCATAGGTCTATTTGAATTGGACCTAATACGGCTACCAGCGCTTTAATTCTGCCACGTTCATTTTCCACCTAAGTATATTTGTATAATGTTAAAAAATATCTCCGGCGTTTTGGAAAAATATGAAAAAGTCTTGTTAGTATACGTGATTTTTTCATTCGATTTTATATTAAACATCTTTTCGCTACTTTACAAATCCTTCTTTCTTGCTGAGATGAGAGCAAGATTGAAATATAAAAATTTCGACGAGGATCGTGGGTTAAATACAAACAGGATTAAATACATGCTGGAATTATATGAATCTTTAAAGAAAAAGATATATCTTGCTTAATTAAAGAAAATGCTGATCGTACCAGGGAGGAAAATAATCTAACATTTCCTTCTTATTTCGTTCTTTCTTTTTTAATTGAAGTTAGGATTATTTAATAGAATTTACCACTAACGATGAGTTACATTAGGCTTCCATTCGTTAGTATATACAATCAAACAATATTTCAGTTCGTAAAATCTGAATGTAGGACGACAAAATGATGCAACGTTTCTTCCTTACTCTTTCCTTTTGTTCTCTTTTTTTTTTTTTTTTAATTAGGTCTAACACTGACCGGTTGCTTTTACGCGTAATCGGTCGGTGTTGGTGCAGCGATACGGTCTTATCGATAAGTTTTAACGTTTTTTCTACAATATGTTAGCACTTGAATCGCTCACTGACTCCCCGCACGATTATGACAGCGCGCGCCAATCCGCGTAACCGCGATAAAACGTTATTGCCCTCGCGGCTATCCGGAGGAACGGAAAAGTGAAATCGCGGTCACAGGTAGGGTCGTGGAGCAACGCGAAATCGATTATCGAGGAAATTACCATAATATCGTTGGCATTTGAATTGCCGCTCATTAGAACAAAGGTAAATTCGCATTTAAGGAAAGTCATCGTAATGCCCGAAACTCTCGGTGGTCGCCG